GTTAAAGTTTACAAAAAAATAAAGGAAAAGGTTAATTTTAGAGAACACTCACTACCGGAAGAAAAGTAACTTTGGCACTGTGAAACACGCACCAAACACTTGACTTCATTTCATTCCGAACTGAACCAAAGATTCGCACATGTTTTTATTAAACATAACCAGCAGTGATTGTGACGCTGCACTACTTAGAGCAACCACTTGGCCGGCCCGAATATATTTCTCTATTGGTCTTTATGCGGCTTTGTATCAGTACCTTTAATAAGTCTAAGCTGCAGTGTCGGGAATATTTTGGTAGAAGCTCCATCAAGCAGTTTTTGAATCCCTTTGGGGAAGCGAGGGAATAATAAATTCAACTATATGTACGCAACACAGAGAAAGACATGAGATAAATTCATTTTTTATTCGCAACTATTTTCTGAGGCGATTTAAATATGTTTGTCTGTTTGTCGGTCTGACGTGGATGTCTCTCTGCGCTTTGCTGGTTGGCTTACAAACTACAATTTTCAAAATATCTTACTGAAGTGTAGGACTAAACCTCTTAAAAATTAATCTTTCTATACCCATAAGGGGCTATGATGAAAATTCGCACAAAATAGTGATAATATATGTAAATTTGTTGCGATTCGGACTACAAAAGTATATTTTTTGATCAATTTCCTGCATAAGCATTCCAATGCAAAGATAAAATCCTTGTATGTCATAACTTGTGTACTTTATAACGAAGTCATGCGAAAGTTATATTAGGATGAGCGGTGTGGGATATAAAATTGTTGTCCTCTTCTGTCCAAAACGTCTTCATCTGTCTTGATTGAAAATTTGGATGGCATTCTTAAATGTGCTTACATTGAGTTAATTTGATCGTTGGACATTAATTAGTTAAGTATATGCCAAGTTTGAGCTTTCTCTTTGAATGATTAGGTGTACTCAGGATCTTAGGCTGACCAGGACTAACTGTAGAAAGTGTAGCAGATTTATGCGAATGTTTCTGCGTTTTCCAAAGAGTGTCTATCTCACATATAGCGGATCATAATTGTCAGGACGTTTTGGCTTTTCAACTTTTCAAAAAACCGGCGGAAAGACAGACTGACATTGCCACGCTAAGCCAATTAAATATGTTTTTAGGCAGCCTTGAGGCGGAATTTTCGAATTTACAACCAGAATGACAAAACTGATGCACCTCCGGTGGTGGGTAGAGGAAAAGGTTATATAAATTACACTAGACGATGATGCAGAATAATCCATGACTAGGCCTAAAGCAATTGTTTATTTATTTATTTATTTTGGATTTTAAAAGAAACTGCCAAGAGAAATACTTTTTTGTCTTTATTTTTAATATGAAAATATGAATGTGTATTTATCGAAACAAAAAATACGAAAATAAGAGAAATAATTTTTTTTTTAATTTTGTAATAAAAGTAAAAAAGATTTTGTTGTATTTAAAATATAATTAAAAACTAAGTTAATGTACATTTTTTATAAAATGATTTAATTTCAATTATAAACACATCTCTTTACGTATGCGTATGCGTATGCAAATCTTTACACTGTGTGTGTGTTATTTTATTAAAAATTAGATAAATTATTTTAACTCGGCTTTATTTTGCTTTTGTTTATGTTGCAAAGAAGCTTTTTAACGTATAACCAACTAACATAATTTAGTTTAAAAAAATATTGACCTTTTTCATCTGCTGCTGCTGTTAGCAGTTGGTTTACTAATCGCTTTGCCGGCGTAACTTTAAATTTAACGTCCATGAAACACTTTATAATTCGCCAACAGTACTAATTGTAATCACTTGTCAACTAAGATAATAACGCAATGCAGCGTAATTAGCACTATGCACTCTGATCAAAAAGTTTCGGGAATGTTTTTTTTTTTTTTTAAACTTTTCCAACTTGAAACAATGTCTTCTGCGACCATAATGTGCGTATAGCAATATTGAACAATTGTATTAATCTTTTGCACTGGACAATATCGTAGATGGGAAATTTTTAAGCGACTGCTGAAGGGAACCATATGTGATCATCATCTATAGTTCATAATCTTTCTCTTTTTTTCTGAGGGAAAAATTTAAAGCATAACACGCTAAAGTCTGAAAAGCAATGCATGCAATAGGTGAAAGAAAGCGGCCAAATTGCGTATGTAGATACTAGCTACTTATGATCTGAAGATAAGGCCAGAAAACCAGTTACACCTCTAAGATTGCGAAGGAAGATAAAAAGAAAAGACATATCAATAACAGGATACAATTGGTGTATAAAAGAAGGAACCAGGAAGGAATTTCATGAAAAATTAATAAGTGAGGAAAAAGATAGAAAGTAAAAAGATGTGAAATCAGTGAAAAACTTCGAATAATCAAAACTAAGGTATGTTTGCCTGGAGTGAACAAAATAAATACAATAAAGTGGAAAAACGTTGCTTGTTATAAATTTGACGACGTAAGACACGTTGTAATAAAGGAGAGTTTATAGAGTAAGGCGTCGAGGACAGAACTTTCCGCCTGATTGCCGAACACTCTAAGCCTAGAACCATACCACAAAACCCACAAGTTCGAGCCAGGACAGAGAAATAAGGATATGATGCTTTAATTGTGGTCCTTTTCGACCGCTTATTACTAGCATTTTTGATTTGAGCATTCAAATAGCTCCAGTAGATGTTTATGTATATTAATTTGCTTCCCCTTTCCAATTCGAAACGCAATCAATCCAACGACTCTCTAACATATCGGTATCTCTTTTATAAAATGACTTGTACCATGGCTTTCAAAATACTTTGCAGTTTCCACAACTGTCTCCATGTCTCATCATTTTGTCGAAGTTTTTTCTTCTGGCGTTTTCTTTTAAGATTTGGGAACATAGACGTGTAAAATGTAGTAGTAGCTATCGACTTGTGACCCAGTGTTCAATATGCGACAGCACCTTTTTATTGAACATATTCACAGCCTCTGCTATCTCTCTGTATCTCTCTTAATGTAACGGGCGCCCGCTTCCATTTCAGAAATTCGGACGATATTTTTGCTAGAGCGACCATGTTTCAATACAGCTAACCAAGCTTTCACCGTGATAAGTGACGGTGCGGAATTCCCGTACGCAGAGCCGAACGTGGAAAGCAATACTGACAACCCGAAAGTTAATTTTTCCCGTTTTCACAAAACCGCTTATACCGACTCACTTAAACGGTTCTCAAACTGCGCTATCGCAAGCGTGGAAATTTTGATAGGCGTTAATCAACTTATACGCATATGTTTTCATACTCAGATAGGAAAATTTTCAAGCAATTTATGAACTTTCAACCGGACAGGCAAACACTACTAAATCGTTTCAAAAGGGATCAAGAATAATTTATGGAGTAAATCTTCCATAGTTTTTGTGAACCGCAGGCCATCTGGAGCTATCACGTAGTATGAAGCTGCCGCTGAAAGCATCTACAAGAGCGACATCTGCACAAATGAGGGATTTCTTCAAACGACAACCGGCTTCCAAAGTCAAAGGAATCTTCTTAGTATACTTAGGGGTTTTATTTTCTTTACCTCTTTTTTTTTTGTTTTTTTTTTTAATATGAGCAGCGGTGTTTCCTATTCGTTTGACGCGGAGACGTTTGGAACAAAGGAGTTCGCGACGAGGTGATCGCAGCCTAGTGGGTGTTTGCCCAATCGGTAACTGTTATGCTTTTACCGGCCGACCATTCACTACCGCCACGACTAATAAAAGTAACCACTACCGCACTTGACATTTGAACCCGCTAGCACTTAGCTACGGACGGAACGAAAAGTGTCATCCTCTTAACTATAAAACATAAAAAGATTTATATTTTGTGTGTGGCTTGATTGAGTCTCAAGCTCCTTTTTGATCAGAGCGTATACAGGCAGTCGGGTTCTCTATCAAATAACTTTTGTAAAACACATGTTAACCCGGATTTTCTCATTTAAGTGAAAAGTCTCTTAGTTACACTAAACAAATTTCCTAACCTTCGCTATTGATTTACGTGAATTAAAAAATAATATGATAAAAAGTTCGGACTACATATTTCTATTTCACCCATTTTTATAGTCGATAAGGGAGGAAATCAAAGTTTGTATATATATATATATATATATATATATATATGAATACTAAATGATATTCTGATCCTTTGCTTTTTAAATATTATTTTCAGAAATTATAAATTATTTCAGGTACAATTTATAAAATTTTTGTTTTGTCTTTTTTCTTCTTATTTATTTTATAAATTTTTATTTGTGGTATACATCCTGGTTTCATCAATTCTGTCCCTGTTGCTGTATTCACTTTGGTGTGATGGATACGATAATCATGATGATAATGATAATGATGATGATGATGATGATGATGATAATAATAATTATAATAATGATAAACAAACATGAAAACATGAAAAACAATTACAATACCAATACATGTACATAAATATTCATACCAACATAATATTCATACACTAACTCGCTTATACATATGCATATGCATGTGATTATATATCAACACCATCTCTCAACTGCTTAAAAATTACTGTAAATAATTTATTTACATATAAATAAACTATGAACAACAATTTCACTTACATCGTCAATGACTTAATGACTCTTTCAAATTAAAAAAAAAAAAAAATAATAAAAAATTATATTTCCATAAATTACTTGTATTTGATACTCGTTTTTCTTTCTTTTTTTATTATTATTATTTTTCGGTTGTCATGATTTACATAATCAATTCTTTTTAAAATATATCAAAAATTTAAAACAAAAAAAAAAAAAAATCACAAAATTGTATTCTGATAAATTCTGACATAAAAAAAAAAAATCATATTTGGCTTTTGACACATAAACCACTGATCACGTGCCTAACAACTACCACTGGTAAATTGATGAAATTAAACAAAATTTCTGTTATCGACAAAAAAACAACTGAAAATTAAACAAATTTCCCTGCTTTTGCTTGTTCACCGAAACGTTCATATGCACACAAATCTACTTATACCTGATTGCTAGACTGCACCTGTTACCGTTTCCGCTGGTACTTTCATACACCATCAACAACAACATCAACATCAACAACAACAACAATCATCACCACCATCAACGACGACGGGCACTGCTGCACTTACGACTACACAGCAAACGAATACAGCGAATACAGCAGCTCCCGCTGCAGTGGCCCATGGCCAGCAGCACACTTTGGAACTGGGCAAGAAACGTGCCGCCGGTACCGACATGTTTCAATTGGTATTTTTCTAAGTTATTTCTTTTTTCTTTAACATTTGCTTTTGTTTTCTGCCCCCTTAGTTTACCCTTTGTGCGTTCAATTTTTTATATTCTACACCATCACTAGTAAAGTAAAGGATAATAGCTGTTAAGCGCATTTTAGCAGGAAAGGAGTATACGAAAAACTTTTTGTATATATTTTTTCGCATCGAACACTTCCGTGAATTAAACCAGTTATAAGGCCTACGTTTCCTCTTTGGCATGGTGTGCACTTTCATTCCTTCTCCCCATTCTATCATCATAAGCAATACCGTATAGTGGAGCAAGATAAGGGAAAAAAGAATATAATTTTATCATGTAAGAATGCTTTCGGTCTGAAAGTGAGTGATTAAGGTCCGTCCCTCGAAACAGAACATCGCGCGCCTGATGTCTGATCGAACCCCCCTATCTCTTATGGAATGCAATTTACAGTTTTCCGTATAATACAAAATTTGGTTTGTAGAAATCTGCTGAGAGCCTATATGCTAAGCAGCTTCCTTCCGCAATTTTGCAATCTTCTCCCACCACTACAAAGCAAATACCGAAGAAGGACGGAAAGACGACTGTGGCCAAATCGATTCTGAATCTGACGTAGCTTACGCTGCTGTTGCAAACGGAGGAACGCAACAGCAAGTAGCGCCTATTCATGTGAACACCATTCTCAACATCGTAATCTATATCCGAAAATCCAGATCTAACGGTAGACGTCAGCTCTTCCAGGGTTGTGTACTTCTTGGTCTAATTCGCCCTGTAATCTATTAATGTGCGTTTACCGATACGGTATACAAAGGAACCCTTCCTTGAAACTAACTGACGGACTAGAATTCAAGCTATAGTATATATACATATCCCCGTACACGCCTAACATCAAAATTAAGGTAGACTTTTCTTTTTTTTTACCTATGACCTGCCTGTCGCTCAGGATATATCTGCTGTACATATATAAGCACGGTGATGGTCAGAAAGAAATGGGGAGAAAAATGTGTACGAAGACTGGGAAGTGTTCGCTTGGTCATTAAGCGTTATTTTCTACAGCGAATAGAGGAAGCAATTGACGCAACCGTCTTTGTGTTGATCTTTTAAGAAACTTGGGGAAATGTTTATATAAAGTTCTACTTCCATCAAAATTTTCCGGCCTTTTCCACAAACTTATTAACCCTTTGAGTAGAGTGAGACTTTAAATGGTCTTATTAAATTTTTGCTCCGACTTTAAATTAGTATCTATTACGAATTGCATTTTTTTGTCTACCAAAGGCATAACGAGCAAATCACGCTCATTTACTATTTGCCTCATGATTCCTTCCTTGTCGAGCGCAATACTCAATGTCTTGTGCTCGGAAACACTTCAACAATAGTCGATAGACGCTGTATGCGTTAATGCAAGGACCAGAAGGGCAAACTTAGTACAGCGCCTCCGGTGGGCAGCAGAGGAAAAAGAAATCTTTACAAAAATTCACCTAAAAATCACTGATGGTGGTTGCCTTCGTCTTCAATATCTCAATATCGTATCGCTTAGCGGCTATAGTTTATTAGAAAATCATTAAAATGTCTGCAGTGAAAAAGTGTTAATTAGCAAATACGATAATCAGACAGAGTAGCAAATTTTTCCTACGGAAAACTTTATTTATGATAAAGTGAGACTGCAGTCAGCAGCATTTGGAAAGGTTTATGCCTTGCTTACTACGGTGGTGTAGGATATTAAATGGCGGGAATAAACCGAACATAACGAACATTTTTACCTGATTTGTTCACTAATATGTTGCGTATATAAGATGTTTATTTTGATTTACCTAAATTCATATTTCTGGTCTTGTTTGTTTGGTATTATTTATGGATTTGTTTCTTTTCCCTTTTTTTTTTTTTGAAGCACTATTGTTTTTGTGTGTATTTATATTGCGCATGTTATGTCTATTTATTTTACGATATATATGTATGTCTATTCCTATATATTTAATATGCATCTATATATTTATATATATGTACATATATGTATAAATTTATATATTTTTCAAATCCAGATAACTTCCTCTCATCAAAAATTTAATTAATACAGTAACATGGAAACCCTGCTAACTTAAGAGATATTTCTTCCCTTTTTTTTTTTTCAAAAACAACACCTTACTATTAATAATATGTAACTGTTAATATGTAATGAATGCATCAAATAATATTTATTTTTGCCAAACTTCAAAGTGCTTTCGGCATGTCAAGCAATAAGAAACATTAGCGTTGTTCTCTTTGGACAGGTAGGCAGAGAGGGAACCAGATAGATAGATACTTCATCATATAGAAATCGTATGGTCACTAGTTGGCTGGGATATACTACAACGTCCAGAGAAAAAAAAATAGATTAATAAATAAGAGCAGAGTAAAGAGAGTTGTTCGAAGACTTTGGCATGTAGACGCATACGGTGAGAATCAATTATAGGAAGAATCAAAGCGGCAAGGTATTTTCGGCTTGTAGACGTAAAAAATCAATCAAGTGGTCGGTATCGAAATAAGCGGTAAAAGACAATTAAACACTGGACAACTGGACAACTAGACTTTGTTAATTCATAAAGATGGGTTAAAGTGCACGAAACGCCCACAATTTTCGATATGAAAAGATCGTCCTCTGTTGAATAAGTAATACGTAAACTATCTTAATGAAGCTGGATTTCTGCACAAACAAATTTTCGCATAAAATAGATGTTGGGCCAGACTGAAGATATTAAAATTAACGTCAAAAAAATGACAGATGGCGGTTATGTATAATCAATTTTCAGAGAAGATATTGTCATTTCTTGTAACGACAAGCATTGTTGAATTCTGAATTGAAAGCAATATCGAATGAACTTTAATACTACCAGCTTGCTGGGGACTGGGACGAACGGCGGTGCGTTTTAATTCGTTAAGCCAGGTTAGATTTGTAGCTAGAGCGTCCGACTATAGTATATAGCAAAACGGAGCTTAAAATTTAATCGCTATAGCGGAAGTCTCTAAGCAAATAATGGAATTCGCTGCAGAATGTATTTTTTAACTTTTCTTTAAAAATAGGGCCAAGATAACATTGCTCAGGTGAATGAAATGAATGAGCAATTATGGCAACTTCTATTACCTTGCTGTGCCCTCGTCATAGGCACGTCCGTGACGTTAAAGTATCGTCTCACTAATGGAATTTTCTCAAAAAGACCCATAAATTCAAAGCTATCTTCTTTTTGACGATGAAGAAAAGCCAAGAAAATATAGCGGGTGAGAGCAAGTGTTTCGAATGAAGTGAAATTAAGAAGATGCAGGAGTTTATGGTGTAAAATTGCCCTTTCGATTTGGAAACATTCTTAAGTATCGACACCTGTTAACAAACGCTCTACTCACTGCGTGTACTTCAATTTCGTGGGTTAATGTACAAAGAGTTCCAAGTAACACATCAAATCTGCCCAGAACCGTCTGACGAAACCAGATTTATACGACATCTATGAAACTACTATCTAGTTACGATTAACTTAAAACTTGGAATGTTTTCGATCAAAACTTTTTCGCCCATCACGGCCTGCATATAGTCTTTCTTTTTTAATTGGAGAATGGTTTTGGAAAGATATGGTATGTCTCCGGTTCCCATCAGCATTAAAGTAAGAATCGAGTACGACCACATATATAAATGTAAATGTAGTGGATACAACTGAACAATATCCGTTGCTACATTTCTTCTTTGTATTTAAAGCTAAGTTCTTTCAGTTGTTCCTTAAATGAGCAAGCATAAAGCAAATTCGAAGGCTGGCCCTTGACGAGCGCTTTAGTATGCATAGCATATACAATTTTCATGAGCACATAACACATAAGTTCTCGCTGACATATATATGACAAGACTATTGACAGATCCATTGGAATACTGGATAGTACCAACTTTCAAGCGATACTTCTCAAAATTTCATGACATTTCGACCATTAGTTCATAACTTACAGTTGCTTCAGCGACGCTACCCTTCGAATTTTTAAAACAATGGGACAACAACGGACTGACAATTCAGAGCGTCGTTTAGACTTAGACCAGGAAAGGAAAAGAATTTTTTATGCGATATGTGACAACTTGCGCTCATCATTGCAATCTAGAGACAAACTGGAATTCAGTCGACTGAGCAGCAACAGGAGCGGCTAAAAATGCCGTCTCGCTAAAATAAATGTAACTTGTAAACCGTTGGTCATGAATAGAGTGTCGTTTAAAAGTTGGTCCTATTCAGAAATCATCCAGACCTGTGAACAGTGGTGCCATATGTCTGTAAGACACGAGACTAACTGGGCGATGCGATATATCTGAAAGATGATTATAACAAGGACACAATATATGGGCATAAGATAGAAAGTAAAATAATTTTTAAAAATAAAAAGAAAAAGCGTGTGTGCGTATATATATAAATATTGAAAATGGAATGTCAATTGTTTATTTTCTACATATACACAATTTATCAATATCAATATATATTATATATATATGTATATATATAAATATATATATAAATATATAAAAAATTTTTGTTTTGTAGTTTGATTCCCATCTTGAGTTGGAGAACATGTTGTTGCTCTTTCTGTAATCTGCACTAAACGTAGAGTACGTAGATAATACATTTCAACCGCAAGACTAATGAACACACATGAAAATACAGTAACGTCTCGAGACTACTACTCGAGATTTATTATATAGATATTTTATAAAAAATGTAAATTAACTTTTGCCAGAAAAAGCTTTTTCATGTTTTTGTTTAATTTTTTTTTTTGCAGAAGTTTTCATTAAAATTGATTTTTAGTTAATTTTTTATTTTTATTAATGTTTATTTCCATTTTGTACCTTTTCTTTTTATATTTTTTAATTCTTTGAAGATCATGAGAAAATAGTTGAGTAGAATATATATTTGCAGTATATATATATATATCTATATATATATATATGTATGTAAATATGTATGTATATAATATATATATATATCTACGTATATAAAAAAAAAATATATATATATATATACATATATATATGCAGTGCGGAGAGAGTTAATTATCTCTTTTACGCTCTTTCTTCATTTCTCCCTTTCTAATGTATTTCTAAAATACCTTAAAAGATAATAATTAACTAATTTTATATTTATTTATACTTTGTAACATGTCTTCTCTCCACTCTTTCCATATTCTTTTACTTTACGTTTCATTGCAAAACAAAACAAAAATGTGTTTCTTCTTATGCGCTTTATCCTCTCAACTAACCAAAATTGTTTGCTACAACTGCTCTTACATGCTCTCACTCTATACTACTGCAACTATTATTGTAACAAAAACAACAACCGGTATTACCTATTATCATCATCACTGCGCTTAATATGCTTAAAAATCCTCCCATTTAAAATTTTGGGTAAATAGATGGATGTTAAAACTGTTGGTTCATTTTACTATGAAAATTTCGTAAGTACTCATTGAAACGCATTGAAAATGAAGATTATTTCCTTACATTTTGACCTTTTTAAGTTCAAATAATTTTGTTCATATTGACTGCTCTCAGTCGGAATTCGCTAAACCATGTGTTTCATAAGAACGCTATAAAAACATGAATGTAAGTCTTTCCAAAGATTGCAGAATTTGAGCCTAAAGCAATCATTTGTATAAAGCTTTATTTTTAACATGAGCGCACAATTTTTTTCTCCTCGCCCTTGAGAAACCTATTATTCTCTATACCATTTTTATTCACATTTCAAGTCCTTGGTTTATCATAGACCTTGCCTGAATAGAACTATGATTAGCGCTGCCTAAGAAACCGTAAAAATTTGTATATACAAATGGCTTTGAAGGCGTGTTCATCAGTAGTAAAATGGTTTGTAGCGATAATTTTAACTGAAAGTAGTCAATATTGTTACAGCAATTTTTGTGTTATTTTTTGTTCATGTGTTAAAAAGAGTAAAACATAAAATTTAATTATATCAAGGGAAAGGGGGTTATTTTTCTTTGCTTCTTCTTTATTTTCTTTTTTTAGTTTTTCCGATCTAGACAGTTATCTTACAAAGCAAGCTGAGCAATATAAATTAAACATAGTATGTTTTGTTTCTGGACTCATCGGGTCAGTGCGAAAGGCCTTCTTAAGTTATTATTTATTTATTAGATCGACTCATAAGTAACTTCGGTTTTTTTAGACATTTATATTGTGTTCATTGATCAAAAAAATTATTTTTATTTAACAGTTGATTGTGAGGTATTCAATCTTTTTGCTATACCTCTTGTTGATTGGTGTGGATTTTGCTCCGATATTGCTTTTAAAAGGTTGTCGCGAAAGACGGAAGGACGTCCAGTTTTTTAAGGTCGTGTCCCCAAAACTGAGTTTCACAAACCAATCTCTAACTGCCCGATCAGTTATCAGCTCTTCACCATTTACGCTGCATATTTTTTCAACTACCGCCTTAGCGTTATTGCCTTTTTCAAATTACCGAAGTGTTATTTGTCGAATATGCGCTTTTCGACACTCCATTTCGGAACTGAAGAAGAACAGTTGAATATAACATGCGCCACATAAAACAGTTGACAGAAGACTGACTGAATCCTCGTCTATATAGTGAAAACACAGACTAGTTTGTTTCGATGACTTGTAGTGGGTAACTACGAACAATAGATTCTACCTGGCTGCATCGGAGGTTACTTATGACTTTATCTGATAATTTTGGATTCCTTTTCTATTCACTATATATAGCGAATTGTACAACCATAAGTTAGACCATGGTCGATAGTTATATTTTAGTGACATTGACACAGTTTTTGAATTCAACATTTTCAATTCAACAAGGTTTAATTGGCCCTATAGAGCCCTTTTCATATGATTTACTCAAAAATCTCTAAAACCATCGCTAAGTACTGCAAAAACGAACCTTAGTGGACTAGACTGTGTAGCTCTGCTTTAGAAGATTATCAAGTGTTTTCAGTGCCTCCCTCGGGCTAGGCATTTTTCCATTATTATTTATTATTAAGTTTTCATATATTTAGGATTCTTTTTAATTTTATTTTGATCGTCTCTTGTCATGAAACATGGATAGGTTTCTTAGCGCCAGCCGCGCCGCGAGACGTTTCTTGATTACAATATCTGCGAAAAGATATTGAGACTAGGCTTAGTTTAGGTTAGGTTAGGCTAGGTTAATGATATGCATACAATTTTTTTCAATAAGTTTCAAATATTTTCTAATTATCCATGAAGGTGATATTATTTTTCCTTTTTAGTTAGTTAGTGACATAAATATTGTTTTTTTTAACAGGTTTTAAAAAATATTCTAATTATCCATGAAGTGATATTATTTTTCCTTTTGTTGTAGCCGAAGTCTAGACTTAGGTTACGTTAGGTTAGTGACATAAATATTGTTTTTTTTAACAGGTTTTAAAAAATATTCTAATTGTCCGTGAAGTGATATTATTTTCCCTTTTGTTGTAGCCGAAATCTAGGCTTAGGTTAGGTTAGGTTACTGATATAAATATTGTTTTATTAACAGGTTTCAAAAATTTTCTAATTATTCGTTAAGTGATATTGTTTTTCTTTTTGTTGTAGCTGAAGCCTTCAAATATTATTCTGTGTTGCATAGAAGAGGACGTGCAAAAAAAATTCTTTTTACGATTTAAAATTTTTAAGCAAACTCTCTGCTTTTGAAATTCATTGACGCGAATGCAAATTGTGCTAAACGAATCTTTTCATGCATAAAGCGGACGTATTTGAATTGAGTTTGATCGATTTGTGTACTAGCGTAAGAAAAAAGTATCAATATACTTTTTCTGATCAGATCAATTAGCATATTCCCTTTTCGATCGGTATATGCATTTATATAATGCAATTACAAAATTGATTTCATTTCAATGTTCCATTTATTCCAGTGGGCATTGTCGACGAAGCCTCTTGTTTAAATATTTTTGGTTTTGTTGTTAACTATTTATTTGCTTTACTAATCTAACCTTTCATTCTAGGTGTTCTGCACGTATAACTGGCTAGTTAGTGATTTGTAAAAATATTTCCTTTTGAACGTTTTCGTTTATTTAATAAAATATTTGGATTTTTCATGTGTTATTTATTGTATTCATTTTTGTTGTTATTATTATTCCCTTTTTTTTTCTATATGTATATATATATATATGTAAATATATATATATATATATATATATATAAAAGCTTAACGTGTTCTTATTGATATTACCGTAATTAAACGCTTATGGAAATGCATATCATTAGCACATTTTTATTTAATAATTAAAAAGAAAATAAAATAATAATAATTTGTTGTTATTGTTTTTGATTTATCATTGAATAATTTTAGGCATACTCGGGTATGGTACCGATTAAACGTCCTGCTGCTGAAAAATATGGCAATCCTGTGTATCCGGGCGCGACCACTTATCAACAGTTGATGCAATTACAACAGCCATTCGTTCCAATCTCATGTGAGTACCAATCTGAAAATAGCACAAGTTCTACTACCACTACTACTGCTCCTACTACTACTACTACTACTATCAATTGTACCACTACTACTACTTTCGCTGCTACTGCTGTTGTTAGTGCCGCCACTACAGCAACAACAACATCATTAAGTGCTAATATTACACAACAACAATACAACCACTACCAACAACAATTACAACAACACTACAACCATCAACAACAGCCACTACTACCACCACAACCACCAATACAACAACAATATATTTTACAATCTTCATCCCAGCCATTTACACTTAATACACCGTCCCAAACTGTCAATACTACTACTAATAACACTTCACATCAAGTCATAAACAATATACTCACCAACAACAACCACAATTTCAATAAATATCATTATAGTTCTAGTGCCCATACCAACGGCAATTGTAATCTAACATTGAGTACTTATAATAGTGGTAATAATACCAAAAATACCAACAACAACAACAACAACAACAGTAAGGCTAACAATAGTTTCTTTTTACTGTACAATAACAATAACAGTAACAGCAGCAACAACAGCAACAACAATAATAGTAATAATAGCAATTGTTTAAATTATGTCAATAATAATCTAAACAGTGACAATAAGTTGATTGCTACAACTTCAACAACGAAAACAACAACAATCAATACGTTGGCTAATAATACGTCAAGTGCAAAGACAACAACTGACCTTACAATCGCTGCTGCAGATACTGCTTCAAACGCTAACAATAACAGCAACAGTAGCATTAACAGAGACATGACTTTAACTATTACTGATCCATTATCGATCAATTCAATTGCAACAACCGTTGCTAATAGCAATCCGGCAACTAGTGCCTCAACGGCAACTAGCCCCAACCGCACTGAAACGCTAGAGCAAACGGAGAGCGACACAAGTGAAGTAGTGCCAGTATTACCCGTAGGCAGCAATCTTTCTTCTATGGTTACCACTAGTGAAAAGGGCATTACTACCGTTACTTCAGCTGTTAATTCAATTGCGGCTAATAGTGCAGCAATTATGTCCTCCGTAACAGTTAAAAGCAATGACGATGAAGTAAGTCGCGAGTCAAAGCATCAATATGTGTCCAATGCGAGTGAGACAACAAACATTAATGGCGGTTCAGACTTAAATGACGTTGTTAATGGATGTAATGATACCATCCAACCCACATTATCCACTGGCATACTACCAACACCTACTTCCAGTTCTGCGGTTACAAATGCTTATCAAGCGCACCAGAATATTCAGCGTTTGTATCAATCGTATAATACCGCAGTAGCGGCGGCCTCGTATGCCAGTGTCAGGGGTCACAATCACTATACGCCCGTGTGCAGTACGGGGTCCTATCATAATATACAATCTATCACAGTACCTTCGTATGCTAGTGTTACGACACCTGGTGTATACGGTTATAGCACTTCGAATACTGGTGGCTATTACGTCGATGACGCCACTAATATAACGAAAGAGATAGCTCAGAAGAGCTACGCTAATGTTATGAAAGCGGCAAGTGCTAGCACCGCTACTACATACACCGGCAAACCCTTGACGGCTTACACTGGCATAAGTTTGAATAAAGCTTATGTAGCAGCCACACCGGCAGCTCCTGGATCTGCTATGGCTCATCAAGCTGCCGCCTTAGTGCAAGCACAGCAAGCTCAGGCTGCTGCCGCTGTGGCCGCTGCCACTCAATTGAGACAATTAAGTTCCTTGCCAAACTCTGGTCTGTCCACTCCAGTCGGTACACCTGTACATACACCAGTAAGTACGCCAGCTTTATTACAGCGTGCTGCACCCTTGCCGGCAGGCAATTACTTTCATGCGGCTTCGCCTGCTACTTTAATGCGTGCCCAGCCGCTAGCTTTAACAGCAACCCCTGCAGGTACCCAATACGCTGCTATGCCGCAACAGCAGCAACCGCATCAAACCGCTTATTTTTTCCCTGGCTTTATACCAACTGCCGGTGCTTATCAGTTTGCAGCCATGGGATCGATGCCGGCCCATGTAACTGCTAGTGCCATATCGTCTGGTATTGCAGCCGCTCAATTAGCTCCTATACCTAGCACAGCTAGTACTCAGGCTGCTATGGTCTTGAACCCCTATAAAAAAATGAAAACCTCTTAAGATGTGATCTGCTGGTACAGTTTAAATTGTCATCCTTAGATTTTTTCCTGCATAAGTGTTAACGTAAAGAACTATCTTTAAGTCCCTTCTCTCTTTTCCCGTTTTCTCTTCTTCTATGAATCGCCGATATTTCTCTTAAAACTTTACATAATAGTAACTGCGAATTGATAGCTAAAAGGTGCAGCGGAAAATATTAAATTAAAAAAGCAAATGCAACACAAAAAAAGAGGAGGATTATGCCTTCCAAAAAGTTTCCGACTTGACAAGCTTTTAAGCAGTTATATTACACTACTGGTCTCCAGTAAATTGCATATGAGCATTCAGCTCCATTTAAATACATTTGTTTTTTTTTTTTTTCCTTACTTCCTACTGTTTTTTGTCTTACCTTTGAATCCTTAGTGCCGGTGTAATAATTGCACTCAATGCCCAAAAAAAAAAGAACTGATTATTAAAGGCTTATATAAGGGATGAGATTAACTTAGAAAAAAAAAAAAAAAACACATAACAGAGAGTACGCAATCATGTAAAAAATGGTTTAAATAATGGTTTGTACCTAAGATATAGTCTTCTCGAGCCTTTCCTCATTTCTGCCAAGTTTATGCTACAATTTTCTGATTTTATTAATCTGTTGAACTGTTATTAAAGATAATTTTTTTTTATATTTATTTTTTAAACTTTAAGTTGTTCATTTATTGCCATTACATTTCTAGCGCTAAAACAAACACATAGAAAACTTTAAATAATTTAATTTGTTTCTATTTATATATATTTATTATTTAAAAAAAAAAAACAAAAAAAAAAACAAGAAAAAACAAAAGGCCTCCCCGGGCTTTTCAGGTTCCTTCCAATAGACAGACTAAACGACTAAAACGAAATAGTAGCTAGAGTAATAACAAAATAAGAATAACAAACACAAATATAAAAACGAAGTACTGTGATAGCTTTTAATCTCTTCTATAAAAAAGAAGATTAAAGTAAAGAGGAAATATATATATATATATATATATATATATATATATATATATATATATATGTACATATATATGCATATAAATACATATGTATATATATATATATATGGATATATATATGGATATATATATATATATGCAACGAATAACACATTATGATTTTCATACATGTATGAATGCTGCTGCATTCTCTCGTTATCTTACACGTGAAACTTACTTTGAACCTGGTTTTTATATATATATATATATATATATTTATATATATATACATATATGTTTTTTGGTTCCTGAAATAAAAAATCGTAATTAACTAAATATACGCAACAATAATAAATAAATAATAAAAATGCTTGATAAAAATTATGGCTTAAAATTTTAAAATAAAAGCAAATCAAAGCTTGAAAGCTTATATATATATGCATATAAAATAGCATTGTAGTAGAGATATATGTAAAGCTTAGATTAATATCTTAGTTGATATAAGAGAAATACATTTATGGGGGAGCTTGCGCTTTCTCACTCTCTCTCTCTCTCATTTCAGCTTCTAAGCTTTGGTAGTAATGCCCTTCTCCAGAACTTTTTTTTTTTTTTTTTTAGTGTACGTTAACATACATACCTATACTTCTAAGTATAGATCATAAAAAAGTATACTCGTAAAAATGCTTTCAGTTATGAGAGCATGAAATATATATATATATATATATATACACATATATATGAAGACTCGCTCTCTATGGGACTCGCTAACTCATATTTGCTGTTGCTCTCTGCTCTTAGCTTGCTCTCTTTTCATTTATCATTTATTATTTTCTTTTTCTCTTTTAATATTTCTATAATTTTTGTTTTTAACTCTCATCAGTTAATAATTTTTCATTTTACTTGTTAAAATAAAAAAAAAAAAAAGGAAAAAAAAACTAATGATAAAATAATGTTGTCAACATATTGGTGTACTTAAATAAACTATTGTTTTCGATCTCATGTCTTTTTCTTCGTCTATCATTCTTAACTAACCATTTTTTTTTTTTTTTTGTTTTATTTTTGGCTTAGAAATGTCAATCAGTTTTTAACTTTTGCTATTTTTAGTTTGCTATACCAAATTAATATCCTATGCCTATCGTACTTAACTTTGAAACACTTTATACACTTACTCGTACATATGCATACTTATCCAAAATATTACACACTGTACACTATTAAAATCCTTAAGTATTTGAGGACGACATAAACTTATTACTTAATATATTTGTTTTTTTTTTTTTTTTTTTTTTTTTTTTTTAATAATTAAATTTTTTTTTAAAAAATTAGGTTTTTTTTTTTGTTTTATACAAAAAAAAAAAAAAAAAAAAAACAATTTTATTCATTCTTTGCTAAAATGTTGTTGTAAAGAGAAAATTTATAATAATAATAATAATATAATACCAACTTTTGTGAACACTTATATAATCTCAGTCTCTAAATTGATAGTTCTTTGATTTGTTTTGCTTAAAATAGAATTTTAGTTGTTGTTCTATTTCTAATTTGTTTTTAAAATTATATCATTTTAGTCTCTATTACTGTTATATTATTACAATGATGAATTATTGTACGTTTTTTCATTGAATTGTATTGTGTTTGTTTATAATTTTTATATTATTTTTTTAAATACATATTAAAAATTGTTTTATTTTACTTCTGAAATGAAAAAAAAAAAAACAACAAATTTTTCGTTGATATTTATTTTTAGAATTTTCTTCTTTTTTTTTTTTTTGCACAATAGCGAAGCATTTAATTAAAATTCGATATCAATTTTATTTGTTCTTAATGTTTTTATTGATTATTTTGTTTGGGCTTATTTAAAAGCAAAAGGAGCAGGGAAGTGAAAGTCTATTCTATA